TCTGTACATTTTCTAGGTCAGCAATTTCACCTGCCTTGAAAGGTGCTGTTATTATGCAGCAATATTCCAGCCTAGATAGAACAAGTGACCTGAAGAGTGTCATCATGGGCTTGGCCTCCCTAGTTTTGAAGGTTCTCATTATCCATCCTGTCATTTTTCTAGCAGATGCGATTGATACAATGTTATGGTCCTTGAATGTGGGATCCTCTGACATGATCACTCCCAGGTCTTTGACGTTGGTGTTTCGCTCTATTTTGAGGCCAGAATTTGTTTTGTACTCTGATGAAGATTTAATTTCCTCGTGTTTACCATATCTGAGTAATTGAAATTTCTCATCGTTGAACTTCATATTGTTTTCTGCAGCCCACTGAAAGATTTGGTTGATGTCCGCCTGGAGCCTTGCAGTGTCTGCAATGGAAGACACTGTCATGCAGATTCGGGTGTCATCTGCAAAGGAAGACACGGTGCTGTGGCTGACATCCTTGTCTATGTCAGATATGAGGATGAGGAACAAGATGGGAGCGAGTACTGTGCCTTGTGGAACAGAGCTTTTCACCGTAGCTGCCTCGGACTTTACTCTGTTGACTACTACTCTCTGTGTTCGGTTAGTGAGGGAATTATAGATCCATCGACCGACTTTTCCTGTTATTCCTTTAGCACGCATTTTGTGCGTTTTTACGCCATGGTCACACTTGTCGAAGGCTTTTGCAAAGTCTGTATATATTACATCTGCATTCTTTTTGTCTTCTAGTGCATCTAGGACCTCGTCGTAGTGATCCAATAGTTGAGACAGACAGGAGCAACCTGCTCGAAACCCATGTTGCCCTGGGTTGTGTAACTGATGGGTTTCTAGATGGGTGGTGATCTTGCTTCTTAGGACCCTTTCAAAGATTTTTATGATATGGGATGTTAGTGCTATCGGTCTGTAGTTCTTTGCTGTTGCTTTACTGCCCCCTTTGTGGAGTGGGGCTATGTCTGTTGTTTTTAGTAACTGTGGGACGACCCCCGTGTCCATGCTCCCTCTCCATAGGATGGAAAAGGCTCGTGATAGGGGCTTCTTGCAGTTCTTGATGAACACGGAGTTCCATGAGTATGGCCCTGGGGCAGAGTGCATGGGCATGTCATTTATCGCCTGTTCGAAGTCATTTGGCGTCAGGATAACATCGGATATGCTTGTGTTAACCAAATTCTGTGGCTCTCCCATAAAAAATTCATTTCGATCTTCGACTCTCAGTCTGGTTAGAGGCTTGCTAAAAACTGAGTCATATTGGGACTTGAGTAGCTCACTCATTTCCTTGCTGTCATCTCTGTAGGACACATCTTGTTTAAGTAGGGGCGCAATACTGGACGTTGTTCTCGACTTTGATTTGGCATAGGAGAAGAAATACTTTGGGTTTCTTTCGATTTTATTTATGGCTTTTAGTTCTTCCCGCGATTCCTGACTCATATAAGATTCCTTTAGCTTAAGTTCGATGCTTGCTATTTCTCTGACCAGTGTCTCCCTACGCATTTCAGATATATTGACCTCTTTTAGCCGCTCTATTATTATTTTCTGCCGCCTGTAAAGAGCGCCTGTCTCTTTCTATTTTACATCTACTCCTCCTTTTTCTTAGAGGAATAAGCCTTGTGCATACATCGAGTGCCACCAAGTTAATCTGTTCTAGGCATAAGTTGGGGTCTGTGTTGCTTAGTATATCTTCCCAGCTTATATCGGTTAGGACTTGGTTTACTTGGTCCCACATTATGTTTTTGTTATTGAAGTTGAATTGGTGAATGCTCCCTCGTGACTAATCTCATTATGTCGGTCTGGGGATCCGCGCATACATGTCTGAACCTCAGTTATGTTGTGATCTGAGTATATTGTTTTTGATATGGTGACATTTCTTATCAGATCATCAATGTTAGTGAAGATGAGGTCTAGTGTATTCTCCAGTCTAGTAGGCTCTATTATTTGTTGGTTTAAATTGAATTTTGTGCAGAGATTTAAAAGCTCGTGTGAGTGTGAGTTTTCATCAGAGCTGCCTCCTGGTGTTATTACTGCAGGATCCGGACAGTGATGGGCAGCAGGGCCTGGACAGTGAGGGGCAGCAGCGTCCGGACAGTGAGGGGTAGCAGGGCCCGGACAGTGAGGGGCAGCAGGGTCCGGACAGTGAGGGGGCAGCAGGACCCGGACAGTGATGGGTAGCAGGGTCCGGGCAGTGAGGGGCAGCAGGGTCCGGACAGTGAGGGGTAGCAGGGTCCAGACAGTGAGGGGCAGCAGGGTCCGGACAGTGAGGGGTAGCAGGGCCCGGACAGTGAGGGGCAGCAGGGCCCGGACAGTGAGGGGCAGCAGGGCCCGGACAGTGAGGGACAGCAGGGCCCGGACAGTGTGGGGCAGCAGGGCCCGGACAGTGAGGGGCAGCAGGGCCCGGACAGTGAGGGGCAGCAGGGCCCGGACAGTTAGGGGTAGCAGGGCCCGGACAGTGAGGGGCAGCAGGGCCCGGACAGTGAGGGGCAGCAGGGTCCGGACAGTGAGGGGCAGCAGGGCCCTGACAGTGAGGGGCAGCAGGGCCCGGACAGTGAGGGACAGCAGGGCCCGGACAGTGTGGGGCAGCAGGGCCCGGACAGTGAGGGGCAGCAGGGCCCGGACAGTGAGGGGCAGCAGGGCCCGGACAGTGAGGGGCAGCAGGGTCCGGACAGTGAGGGGCAGCAGGGCCCTGACAGTGAGGGGCAGCAGGGCCCGGACAGTGAGGGACAGCAGGGCCGGACAGTGTGGGGCAGCAGGGCCCGGACAGTGAGGGGCAGCAGGGCCCGGACAGTGAGGGGCAGCAAGGCCCGGACAGTGAGGGGCAGCAGGGTCCGGACAGTGAGGGGCAGCAGGGCCCGGACAGTGAGGGGCAGCAGGGTCCGGACAGTGAGGGGCAGTAGGGCCCTGACAGTGAGGGGCAGCTGGGCCCGGACAGTGAGGGACAGCAGGGCCCGGACAGTGTGGGGCAGCAGGGCCCGGACAGTGAGGGGCAGCAGGGCCCGGACAGTGAGGGGCAGCAGGGCCCGGACAGTGAGGGGCAGCAGGGTCCGGACAGTGAGGTGCAGCAGGGCCCGGACAGTGAGGGGCAGCAGGGCCCGGATAGTGAGGGGCAGCAGGGCCCGGACAGTGGGGGGGCAGCAGGGTCCGGACAGTGAGGGGCAGCAGGGTCCGGACAGTGAGGGGCAGCAGGGCCCGGACAGTGAGGGGCAGCAGGGTCCGGACAGTGAGGGGCAGCAGGGCCCTGACAGTGAGGGGCAGCAGGGCCCGGACAGTGAGGGACAGCAGGGCCCGGACAGTGTGGGGCAGCAGGGCCCGGACAGTGAGGGGCAGCAGGGCCCGGACAGTGAGGGGCAGCAAGGCCAGGACAGTGAGGGGCAGCAGGGTCCGGACAGTGAGGGGCAGCAGGGCCCGGACAGTGAGGGGCAGCAGGGTCCGGACAGTGAGGGGCAGTAGGGCCCTGACAGTGAGGGGCAGCTGGGCCCGGACAGTGAGGGACAGCAGGGCCCGGACAGTGTGGGGCAGCAGGGCCCGGACAGTGAGGGGCAGCAGGGCCCGGACAGTGAGGGGCAGCAGGGCCCGGACAGTGAGGGGCAGCAGGGTCCGGACAGTGAGGGGCAGCAGGGCCCGGACAGTGAGGGGCAGCAGGGCCCGGATAGTGAGGGGCAGCAGGGCCCGGACAGTGGGGGGGCAGCAGGGTCCGGACAGTGAGGGGCAGCAGGGTCCGGACAGTGAGGGGCAGCAGGGCCCGGACAGTGAGGGGCAGCAGGGCCCGGACAGTGAGGGCAGCAGGGTCCGGACAGTGAGGGGCAGCAGGGCCCGGACAGTGAGGGGCAGCAGGGCCCGGATAGTGAGGGGCAGCAGGGCCCGGACAGTGGGGGGGCAGCAGGGTCCGGACAGTGAGGGGCAGCAGGGCCCGGATAGTGAGGGGCAGCAGGGTCCGGACAGTGAGGGGCAGCAGGGTCCGGACAGTGAGGGGCAGCAGGGCCCGGACAGTGAGGGGCAGCAGGGCCCGGATAGTGAGGGGCAGCAGGGCCCGGACAGTGGGGGGGCAGCTGGGTCCGGACAGTGAGGGGCAGCAGGGTTCGATACAACGTAAGGTCTCAGTGGCCCTATAAACCCCAACAACAACAAGAAGATGGGACATTGTTTAACTCTTGAATTATCATAGTTACTTCTGCAGCAGTCTTCGTCAGTGTGGACGTCTCTCTCGCGCCTCAGTATCACTGACAAATTTGCCCCGTACTCACTGGGACGCTTGTCCTCATTTATTTAACCCGCCGGACACTCTAGTCATAAGTTGACCTATGATACTCCAATACTGAAGCTATGTATAGTGCCAAAACAAAAGCATTCACATTGCTAAACTCACAAACTAGTATTTAGTCACTTAGCCATAATACCAACTTACCTCATAATTTGTAATATTTTAAATTTAAGATTTAATCTAAGTCTGCCCGAAATGCCTAGCCATGCTAGGTGTTCTAGTGGTACACTCTGTAATTATTATTTTACTACATGTAAACCACACAATAACCAAATTCTGTAAACTCAGCATTGTAATACTTATAGAGAATAAACTTTGAATTGAATTGAATTGAGGGGCACCGGGCACTCTACAGGAGGGGCACCTGGCACTCTACAGGAGGGGTACCTGGCACTCTACAGGAGGGGCACCGGGCACTCTACAGGAGGGGCACCTGGCAATCTACAGGAGGGGCACTGGGCACTACAGGAGGGGCACCTGGCACTACAGGAGGGGCACCTGGCACTCTACAGGAGGGGTACCGGGCACTCAACAGGAGGGGCACCTGGTCATTGGCTTACTTTAGCCAGCTCCATTTTGTCCGTTCTGGATAATTCTTTAAAGGTTTTTGGTGGGAAGCTGGTTATTGAACTTAGGGGTGTGGGGGGTCCCTCTTGCTGGGACTTGGCAAGGGGGGTCCACTGAACTTAGGGGTGTGGGGGGTCCTTCTTGCTGGGACTTGGCAAGGGGGGTCCACTGAACTTAGGGGTGTGGGGGGTCCCTCTTGCTGGGACTTGGCAAGGGGGTCCACTTGGCCTAATTGAGAACTTCTAGTTCCTGTTTCTGTTTATAAAGGAATTTTTGCCCCTTTTTCTTTCATTGCCCAGCACTGGGCAACAAATCTTCCCCATTGGAAACAAAGGACCACAATGGAAATAAGTCACTCTGACTTTTCTGGGTTATCACAGGTTCTCTACACATATGCTGCTATGTTGATAATGTAACTGTATTTGTGTATACCTGAATAAACTTTACATGGCGATGTCGGGCTCGATACAGCGTAGACTATCAGTGTCCCTGATAGACCAACAAAGAAATTTATAGGTTCAGTTCTACAACATTTACTTGATGAGACCATTGTAAAAGTTTAAAAATGTATACAAAGTTTGATTAATAGCTTGTTCTGCTTGCTGTGGAACTGATGATCATTCCCCGGCACAGGTGAAACAGTTGGGGAACTGTCTGCCATATTTCCATTGCGGTCCTTTTAATTTTGCCCCTCAGGGTCGACTTAGCCGACATCATTGACATACTGTATGGCAAAACCCTGGTTATGCAGAGCATTTTGGGAATATTTGTGTATTTGTGTGCCTGTACCTAAATAAACTTACTTGGGTTAATCATGTTTCCCGGGATGCGACCCACACCAGTTGACTAGCAACCAGTACCTACTTACTGTTAGGTGAACAGGGACAGCATGTGTCAGGAAACATGCCCAACATTTCACCCATGGTGGGGATTGATCCCGGATCCTCAGTGTGTGAGCTGAGGATGCTTCCAGTCAAGCCACTTTGGGCATTATTATTATTGTTATTATTCCTTTAACTTAACAGCCATCTCCTGCCAAGGTAGGGTGACCCCCAGAGAAGAAAACACATTTGCCAACATTCACTCAATTGCTGTCTTTCCAGAAGTGTGCTGACATCACAGTCAGATTATACCTCTAATTGCATAATCCTCACCCCTCCTTCAGGGTGCAAGCTCTGCCCTTCCCACCTCCAGGGCTTGAGTCTGGCTAACAGTTTTTCCTGAATGCCCTCGTAAAACTTACCCTGCTCACACTCCAACACCACATAATCCATTAAAACTTCCTTATCTCTATGCACTCCTATCTAACACACACAAGCCTGATGGGTGCTCAAGCCCCTAAAACTCAAAGCCTCCTGTACCCTTTCCCTCCAACCATTCCTGGGAAGGACCCTTTCTTTCCCTTCTTCCTTTCATTCCAGATTTATATACTCTTTTCATCAAACTATCAATGTCCATCCTCTCTACATGCCCATACTACCTCAAGAACCTCTTAACTATCTGAATTATACCCTTGGTCACCCCACATCACCTTTTAATTTCTATACTGAATTCTCTGCTTGATGTTCACTCCCCACATTGCTCTCAAACATGACATCTCTGCTGCCTCTAGCCTCTTTTTTTCTCTGCAGCATTCAAAAATTCAAAGCCCATGCCCCAGCTATATGTATAGAAGCTTTTCCAGAGGGTTGTTAACCCAGAATATTAGTTACTGTACTGCATAATCCATTTTCTTTACAGTCTGTATTTACTCTTTTTACCTGATTTCAGAATGTGAGAATAAAGTTATTCAAACTATGATATAGTTTACAGCTGGTCCTTAGGACAAACCACCTGCCATCATGAGTGATTTTGATGTGAGCAGCTCAGATTCAGAACCTGTCTCTGATGTCAACCCAGAGGAGATGGCCAGATTGATGGCTGTAAGTTCTTATTGTATTCTATATATATTTTTATGTATATTTACCAGGAGAGGGTTTTGGGGGTCAACGACCCCACGGCCTGGTCTGAGACCAGGCCTCATGGTGGGTCAGGGTCTGATTAACCAGGGTGTTACTGCTGACCACACGCAAGCTGATGTAAGAACCACAGCCCGGTTGGTCAGGTACTGACTTTAGGTGCCTGTCCAGTGCCTTCTTGAAGACAGCCAGGGGTCTATTGGTAATCCCTCTTATGTATGCTGGGAGGCAATTGAACAGTCTTGAATCATGAGTACAAATAGGAAGTGCATCTCTCTTGTGCTCAGCAGATAGAAGATCAAGCCTCCACTATGTCTTATGCTGAGTGAATCACAAGAGTTTAACACTTAACACAATTTTTTTTTTTAATACGTCGGCTGTCTCCCACCGAGGCAGGGTGACCTGAAAAAGAAACTTTCACCATTGCTCACACAAAATCACTGTCTTTGCAGAGGCACCTAGATATGACATATTCTTTGTTCACTAGTTCTATGTATGACAAAAAGGAAAATTATCGTCTTTCAACTGACCGGCCGTATCCCACTGAGGCAGGGTGGCCCAAAAGGAAAAACAAAAATTTCTCCTTTTAAATTGAGAAATACAGCCTCTCCTCGCTTAACGATGAAGTTTCATTCCTAAGCCCACATCAGTAAATGAATTCATAATATAATGGTAGTGGGTTTGTGTCAGCCATCTCTGATATTGTTTTAATGTCACCTGTACACCATTTATAACATTTCTGTTATTATTTTTAAATGTTTATACAGTAGTGTGCTGTATATTTTAATAAAGAGAATAGCAGAAATCAGCTCTAATATACATTATTTAGGTATGCATACTCGTCAGAGAACCCGTTGTAAGTCCAAGTTGTCGGTGAACAAGTACATCACTAAGTGAGGAGAGGCTGTATATACAGGAGAAGGGGTTACTGGCCCCTTGCTCCTGGCATTTTAGTTGCCTCTTATGGCATGCATGGCTTACGGAGGAAGATTTCTGTTCCAAAACATTAAATATACAGCTTGTACGTATTTAGTTTAGGGGCTCATCCAAACTGACACATTATTTTCATTTGTATAGTAAAAGCAATCTATCAATAGCCTGGCAAAAATAATTATTGTACAAATTGTTATTTTGGCTCCTGTTAGCAGCGATATTATTCTTATGGGAAGTAGAATGTATTTGATAATATACTGTTCTATTGATGGGAAAGTCATGAGACATTCCTGGCCAATCAACAGTTAGTATACAGCCGCACAACAAGCCTGGCCAATCAGTGGTTAGTATACAATCACATAGCTCACAGAACCAGTGAGATGCACAGTTACAGACTGCTGGCACCCAAGCAGTGTCTCCTGAGTGTAACCCAAGTCAACTGACCTCTTATGTCACTTTGAAATTTTAGTGGGCAAGACAAATAGGCATTAGAATTACTGAGTAACTGTGAATACCAATATTCATTAATTACTTATTAGGATGGGTTAGGTTGGGTTAGGTTAGGTTTGGTTTAAGTTAGGTTGGGATGGGTTGGATTAGGTTTGGTTTGGTTGGGGTAGGTTAGGTTACATTAGGTTAGGTTGGCTGCCATATTTAAAAATAGGTCTTCTATATATTATCAAGAAAAAATATACATAAATGCTGTTTTTTCCAGGTGACACAAAAACTTCTGCTATTGCACAGACCAATTAATATTGAACACAATTATAATTTTTGCAAAACTCTCAGAAGCTCCTAAACTAAGTACAGTGGACCCCCGGTTTACGATATTATTTCATTCCAGAAGTATGTTCAGGTGCCAGTACTGAACGAATTTGTTCCCATAAGGAATATTGTGAATTAGATTAGTCCATTTCAGACCCCCAAACATACACGTACAAACTCACTTACATAAATACACTTCCATAAATGGTCGCATTGGGAGGCAATCGTAAAGCGGGGGTCCACTGTACTAGTCTGACACATCGTATATAGTTGTAGCTGCTGAAGATAATGTGCTTTTCTCATTTATATTTATACTAAATTTTTTTTTTTTAACAAGTCAGCCGTCTCCCACCGAAGCAGGGTGACCCAAAAAGAAAGAAAATCCTCAAAAAGAAAATATAGTACAGGTCTCCCTCAACATTCACGTTTTCAACTTTCACGGGCTTCACACATTTGCAAATTCTCAACCGCCAAATTCCCAGCCACCAAATTCCCAGCCGCCAAATCATATTTAAGTTTCCCGCCACCTGCGAGTCCCTACTACCCTCCCTCCGACCCCCGCAACTGGCAGCCAGCCCTCCCACCACTCAGTGTGGTGAGTGTTTTGTTTGTTCATTATTTGCTATTAAACTACAGTATAAATAATGTAAACCCATTCATGACTGCATATTGGAATGGCTATTCGGACAGGTATTAGACAGTGACATCATGTGTTTACTCTTGAACACTGCAGAGAATTAAACATTTCTGCTACAGCTAATAATAACAATAGTTAAATAATAATAATAATATAATAATATAAATATGATATAATTGAAGAAGGAAATTGTACAAAAATACAAGGGAGTGGTTGACACATCGTCAGTGTGACTTTGTTTATGCTGGAGTGAACATTAGTCTCCCTGCTCTTCCAAACATTTCACAATAATTCATTGTGTTTGGTGCTTGTAGATTGAGTGTGACTGGAGTGATAGAGGCAGTGATTGAGGCAATGGTATTTAATAACATACATGTTAATAATAATACATGTTATTAATAATATGTACTATTATTTTTTATAACATATGTTATTAAATACATACATGTTAATAATAATACATGTTATTAATAATAACATGTACTATTATTATTTATAACATATATGTTATTAAATACCACTGCCTCAACTGCTGAATTATTGTGAAATGTTTGGAAGAGCAGGGAGACTAATGCTCACTCCAGCATAAACAAAGTCACACTGATGATGTGTCAACCACTCCCTCGTATTTTTGTACAATTTCCTTCTTCAATTATATCGTATTTATTATTATTATTATTATTATTACTATTGTTATTATTAGCAATAGCAGAAATGTTCAATTCTTTGCTGTGTTCAAGAGTAAACACATGATGTCACCGTCTAATACCTTTCCTAATAGCCATTCCAATATGCAGTCATGAATGGGTTTACATTATTTATTCTGTAGTTTAATAGCAAATAATGAACAAACAAAACACTCACCACACTGAGTGGTGGGAGGGCTGGCTGCCAGTTGCGGGGGTCGGAGGGAGGGTAGTAGGGACTCGCAGTGGTGGAGTCTGTGGTATTTAATAACATACATGTTATTAAATAACATACGTTATTAAAGCATAACATGTATATATTTAGTACAATTTACGACATTTTCATGTATTTTATGATTATTCATGGTTCAACAAGTTAAGGAAGCAGTATTGTAATATATTTCCCTACAATATATTAGGGCACCAAACATTCACGGTTTTTCAACATTCGCGAGGCTCTTGATCCCCTAACCCTCGCGAATGTTGAGGGAGACCTGTACTTTCATCATCATTCAACACTTTCATATAATCACTGTTTTTGCAGAGGTGCTCAGAATACAACAGTTTAGAAGCATATATGTATAAAGATACACAACATATACCTCCAAACTGCCAATATCCCAGATCCCTCCTTTAAAGTACTACAGGCATTGTACTTCCCATTTCCAGGACTCAAGTCCGGCTATATAAAAATAACCGGTGTCCCTGAGTTTTTTTTTTTTTTTTTAATAAGTCGGCCATCTCCCACAGAGGCAGGGTGACCCAATAAGAAAGTAAATCCCCAAAAAGAAAATACTTTCATCATCATTCAACACTTTCACCTCACTCACACATAATCACTGTTTTTGCAGAGGTGCTCAGAACACAACAGTTTAGAAGCATAAACGTATAAAGATACACAACATATCCCTCCAAACTGCTAATATCCCGAACCCCTCCTTTAGAGTGCAGGCATTGTACCTCCTATTTCCAGGACTCAAGTCTGGCTATATAAAAATAACCGGTTTCCCTGAATTTTTTTTTTTTTTTTTTTTTTTTCAACAAGTCGGCCGTCTCCCACCGAGGCAGGGTGACCCAAAAAAGAAAGAAAATCCCCAAAAAGAAAATACTTTCATCATCATTCAACACTTTCACCACACTCACACATTATCACTGTTTTTGCAGAGGTGCTCAGAATACAACAGTCTAGAAGCATACACATATAAAGATACACAACATATCCCTCCAAACTGCCAATATCCCAAACCCCTCCTTTAAAGTGCAGGCATTGTACTTCCCATTTCCAGGACTCAAGTCCGACTATATGAAAATAACCGGTTTCCCTGAATCCCTTCACTAAATATTACCCTGCTCACACTCCAACAGATCGTCAGGTCCCAAGTATCATTCGTCTCCATTCACTCCTATCTAACACGCTCACGCACGCTTGCTGGAAGTCCAAGCCCTTACCCACAAAACCTCCTTTACCCCCTCTCTCAACCCTTTCGGGGACGCCCCTACCCCCCTTCCTTCCCCTATTTTTTATATGCTTTCCTGTCTTTTATTTTGACCATTTCTTAAATGACCAAACCACCTCAAAAACCCCCTCTTCTGCCCCTGACTAATATTTTATTAACTCACCCACTTTCCTAATTCCACACCCCAAATTTTCTGCATAAATATTTCACCCCATTGCCCTTAAACAGGACATCTCCACTGCCCCCCAAAACCTTTCCCCCTCGCTCTGCTTTACCCCCCAATTCACACCCATAAAAGGTGTTGGTATATATACTTTCATACTTTCCTTCTTTGCCTCCATAGATAACGTTTTTTGACTCCACATTACCTCAACGCACCACTACCTTTTTTTCCCCCACAATTCTATGATTAACCCCATCCTTTTTAAATCCATCCGCCCGGAAACGTCAATCCCCGATTGAAAAAAAATTCATTCTTCCATATCCCCTCCCAATTTTATATCCAATTTTTTTTTTTTTAAATCATTTGACACTTCTCCCTTACTCTTTTTTATGTCACTTTTTTCTTTTTTACTTTACACATTCCCAAATCACCACTAACCTTTTCAATTTTTTTTAGAATCTCCAAAGACAGTATATCAGCAAAAAGTAACTGTGTCAATTCCCTTTTTAAATTTGTTTCCCCCAAAATTTAATCCCCCCCCTCTCCCAAACACCCTAGCATTTACTTCCCTTTAAAACCCCATCTATAAATATATTAAACACCTGGTGACATTACAACCCCGTCAAAGACTATTTTTTAGGGGGAATATTCCCCCTCTCTTTACCACCCTAACCTACCCTCATTCTCAAAAAACTCTTTACAGCATTTAATAACTTCCAAACCTATTCCATAACTTGAACATCTGCCACTTTGCCCCTTTTCCCACTCTATATATCCTTTTCAAAAACCATAAATGCAATAAAAACTTCCCCTATCTTATCTAAATACTGTTAAAATATATGCTTCAATGTAAACATGATCTACACATCCCCTACCCACCAAAAAACCCCTTGCTCGCCCCGCAATCCTACATTCTGTCTTCCCTCAATTCTTTCAATTATACCCTACCGTACACTTTTCGGGTATACTCAGTAAGCTTTTTCCCTCTATAATTTTTACAGTCTCTTTTTCCCTTTTCCCTTTTTTAAAAGGGTATACATGCTCTCTGCAACCCCTAGGTTTATTCCCCCTCTTCTACATTTTTAAACAAAAGTCCCAACCATCCAAACTTATCCCCCCTGCTTTTAACTTTTCTGTCATGACCCCATCAGTTTTCCAGCTGCTTTACCCCCTTTCATTTTAGTAATGTCACGTCCCTCCCCACATTTACATTCTGCTTTTCTTCTTTCCCTAAAAGTGGTTAAACCTCCCTGACCAGGCATAAAAATTACTGCCTCTGTTTCTTCCTTAAATTTAAATTTCCCCCAAAAATATTCTCGCCATTCCCCCAATCCTCCATCCCCCCTTAAAACCCCCCCCCTTTCTTTTTTTTTTAACTGAAAAATCCATTTTTTCCCCTGGGTTTTTAATTTGTTTAACTCATCCAAAATTTTTTCTTTTTTTCATTAAAATTTCTTGACGTGCCTCTCCCATTATCATTGCTCCCCTTTTCACCTCTCACCACTCTCTTTACCTTTTTTTTTATCTCCTTATACTCTGCTTTTTTATAACATTTGCTTTGTAAAAAAAACCTCTCATAAGTCCCTTTTTTTCTTTTTTATCCACCTTTACTTACATTCCCCCAAATTTCACCCCTCTTTCCTCCTGCCCCACCCTCCTATAACCACAAATTCGCCCCAAATTCAATTGCTTTTTTAAAACTTTTCCAACCCTTCAACCCCCCCCTATCATTTTTGCACTAGCCCACCTTTCCCAATTCGTTTATCTCACCCGAATTTCCTCCCCCCTTAGTTATACACTTTCACCTCCCTCACTTGTTGTTTCCCCTTCCTTTTTCCCTTTACCTTTTATCAAAACTGTAGTACAATAAATAATGATCCGATTATCAGTTCCCCCTCTAAAAACATGTACCCCCTGGAGCCTCCCCATCAACTTTTTCCACAAAACATAATCTAAAAACTATTTCATTACGTGCTACATATACTTGTTATTTATTTATCCTCTTTTTTCATAAATTGTATTATTTAACCAAATTTCTTTCTACCATAGCTCAATTAAGGCTCCCCATTTTAAATTTTCCCCCGGCACCCCAAATTTACCTTACCCTTCCCTAAAATTTTTACCCACTTTTTGATTGAAAACCCAACCACCATTACTCCACATTGATTCAAAAATCCCCCCCCCTTCACTCAAAATTCCCAAATTTTCTCTCTTCCCCCTACACTTCTCCTTTTTCCCCGGTGCATACACGCTTTTTATAACCCATTTTCAATCCAAACTTTTTTTATCCCCATAATCCCCTTTAATTTAAAACATTTATGTCCCTTTTTCCCGCCATAGTTTTTCCATTATTGCACCCTTCTTTTGCCAACTCTATTTGAAACCCTGACCTAATCCCCTTTTTCCTCTCCACTGAAAAATCTCCCCCCCCCTTACCGCAAATTAAAACCCAAAATCCCCCCTTTTTCCATTATAACACCACAATATCCTTTTTTTCCACAACAACCCCCCCATTTGACTTCCCCCTTTTACAATTTTCTTTTCTTAATTTTTTTTAGTACTTTTTCAGGAAAAGGGGGTTCTAGCCCATTGTTCCCGGCATTTTAGCTGACTTTTACAACACGCATGGCTTACGGGAGGAAAGATTCTTATTCCACTTCCCCCTGGATATAAAAGGAAAAAATTTAATAAGACAAGAAATTTTAAAATAAAATCAAAGAAAATCAGATGAGGGGTATAAAAAAAATGTGTACTTTTTATGTGTAGTGTGACCTAAGTGTAAGTAGAAGTTCAAGACTGCCTGTAATCCTGCATATTTATGAGACAGACAAAAGACATCAGCAATCCTACCATCATGTAAAACAATCACAGGCTTCGTTTTACACTCACTTGGCAGGACGGTAGTACCTCCCTGGGTGGTTGCGTTACCAACCCACTACCTGAATCCCTCCACTAAATATTACCCTGCTCACACTCCAACAGCTCATCAGGTCCCAAATACCATTCGTCTCCATTCACTCCATTGTTTCATTGTTATAATAAATTTAATGAGCTATTGCGTATTTTACTGGAATCTTACTTTGTATCACTTGTCTAAAAGATATACAATGTTCCATTTTTTTACAGGATCTGGATGACATTGACAGTGATCTTTTTAAAGGTAATCTAAAGTCTTCTGCAAAGGTAACTGGTGGAAGAACGGATCCTAAAATACAAGATGGTAAACAGTCTTCAAGGCAAGAAAATTTGGATAAGAAACCAGTGACTCCGGCTAAACCATCAGGAAAGGCTTCAGATGATGACAGTGATGGTATGCATCAGAGATGATTATTCTTTCGCTTTATTACAGCAATCATTTTTTTTATTTATTCTGGATTTCAGTAAATACTGACTTAAAATGGAATTTGAAGTAGTCTTTGAAATTCAGGATTTTTGCTCTTATTCAGAAAATTCAGAATTGAACCGATTCACTCTTCTCATCTGATCCGTCAACAAAGAGAGGTTTTCTTTCCATCTGCTCCTCTTGCTACTTTGTTTTACCCAAATGGGGAAGGGAGGGAAATAGGGAAAAAAAAAAAAAAGGTGTGAGTTGGGAGAGTATTAAGAGAGATGAAATAGGGCAAAGATTGTAGGACCATGGCATCCTCCTCATTCCTTGTGTTGGTGTATAGCAATATACAAACATGTAATGTACTTCATTGTTCTTGCATCATGTTCATCCTGGAGTGAACATGTGCTGTTTGTCAAATCTGTTCCTTGAGTGAGGCCATCAGTCAATCAATCAATCAATCCTTGCAAGATTATATTGAGATTATGAAATTTCGGAAATGAGTTGCATTGCAAAGAGAGCCACTATCATGCCTAGGCATTATGGGCAGACTTAATTTAATGGCTTACAGACTACATAATACTATAGAAATTGAACATGGTTTGTTTAAGTTGTACATCTTGTTTATTTTTAATACACAGTAATTTTACTCAAATTACAATAGTTCCAATAGTAAATACTGAAATTATTTTATGGGAATATAACATTGTGAGTTGTTGAAGGTAGTTTACAGTATGAGACTGCTACAATTGGGTGTAAGGCAGTAATATTTTGGGTAGATATTTATACTACAAGGTAGTTTTAATCAATGTATGAACTTTGGGCATCACGTTTTGAAGTTTTACGATTTAAGTAATTGGGAGATTTTTTGGTAAAGTTAACCCTTTCAGGGTCCGTCCCGTAGATCTACGGCTTTATGGTGAGTGTCCAAACCGTAGATCTACGCCATGAGCTCAGCTCACTCTGATAAACTGTGAGTGGTACATTTGGGCCTAGATATGAGAGAATACATCTATGTGGTATGTGTGCACCACATAAAACAGATCCTGCAGCACACTGTGTATAATGAGAGAAAAAAACTGAAATCATGATTTTTTGATTAAAACAGCAACTTTGCAGTGTTTTTTCGTATGTTTTTTTTTAGTTGTATTTGCGATTTCTTGGTCTCATTTGATAGAATGGAAGACATATTACAGAAATAGAGATGATTTTGATTGGTTTTAGCACTGGAAATGGCTTGAAAACTGAGCTCAAAGTAGGGGAAAAATGTTAAATTTTTGCCGATATTCAAGAGTAAAAAAAACGACCTCTCAACGTCTAATACACGTCAGCTGGTGGGTCAAATATACATTCACAAATATGGTGATGATATTTATACAATTATTACAGTATTGCATAGCAGTAAATCTTCTATTTTTTGGTGTGAATAAAAATTCATTATGTGAATAAAAAATCAAAATGGAATTTATTTGTAAAGCCTCAAAACATGACTAATGAAACAAAGAAATGTTAGTTTAGTGCCAGGAATGCCTACATTGTTTATTCTGGACCCCATTTTGAAATTGGAATATTTTGAACTTTGTGTTAAATTGGCCAAATTAACAATTTCCGATCACTTTATTTTGTAGTTTAAACAGTTGACTTGGCGATTTCTTGTGCTCAATCGATAGAATAGAAGTAATACTAGTGAAATAGCTAAGAATTTGGTTGATTGGAATAATGTAATTGGCCTAAAATGGGAGTCAAAGTCGGCAAAATCGCCGATTCGTAAATATCGCTGACACATCAAAATTCGCGAGAGCATAATTTCGTCAATTTTCCACCAAATTTCGTACTTTTTGTTTTATTACCTTCACAAAAAGATTCTCTACGATTTCATAAGAAAAAATAACAAATTTTTTTTTTTTAAATTCTTGGACACTGGTGCGTGACTCCAGATTTGGGCCTTGGACCCTGAAAGGGTTAAATATTTAGTATTTAGTTTAGGGTGAGTAAGTGGTTTTTGAGAAGTCTTAAATTGATATTCACATCGGGTTACTTTAATATTTACTGGTAATGAATTCCAAATTTCGGGGCCCTTTATGTGCATAGAGTTTTTACACAGTGTGATATGGACTTGGGGTACATCAAAAAGAGATCTGTGTCTTGTGTTATGGTCGTGTGACCTGTTAAGGTTGATGAGGAGAAGTTTGAGTGGAGGGTTTATGTTGGAGTGTAGTGTTCTGTGTATGTAGTAGAGTAAGTTTGGATGTTCGGTACGGTGAGCAGTTTTATACTTCTGAATATTGGAGGAGTATGCTGTCGGGAGTGGGAGTTTGTTGTCATTCTGACTGCAGCCTTTTGCTGGGTTATTAAGTGGCCTTAGGTGATTTAGTGTTGTTGATCCCCATGCACAAATCCCATATGTGAGATAAGGGTAGATTAGTGGATGATACAGTGCAGGGAGAGCTGATTGTAGAGCATAATACCGCATCTTTGATAGTATGCCTACTGTCTTAGAGATTTCCTTGGAAATTTGTTGTATATGTGTCTGAAATTTGAGGCTACTGTCAAGGTGGATTCCTAGGAATTTTCCCTCTGATTCTTGTGATGGGTAATCCATTTAGCATTATGTTAAGTGGAACATTTGCAGCTCTGTTTCCAAACTGAATGAAATAGGTTTTGTTAGTATTGAGGGTAAGCTTATTAGTTATCATCCAGGTAGATATTTTCTGCAATTCGGCATTAACAGTGTTTGCCAGTATTGTCGTAGGGGTTCTTAAGGAGATATGATGGATAAGGTAAACTCACTTGTTGGATGGTAACGATATGTATTGTCAGACTGTGATGAGGGATGGGAGCCCAGGCCTGCCTGCTGGATGTCTATCCGTCGAGTGAGGAAGAGGCAGCTCGTCACTCACACTGCATCCCGTGACATTATACAGTCACTCGGCCTAATAGGGATCTTCTATATAAAGCACATGGATGGTACTATAATACTCAGCTAATCTATACAACACATATAAGGGGATCAGCAACTATGCTGACAACACGACTGGGTTTGGGTGAGAGAAGACATGTGTAGTGTCATCTGCAAATAATATGGGTTTGAGCCATTAGTCTCCTCCCATCCTCCACACTTTTCTGTGTATTACACTCCTCCCAACTCCTCTTCTAAACTTTTCTAACCTTATCAAGTTCTACTTTCCCTAAGGTCTCCCTTCCACCAACTTTTCCTTCTCCATAACTCTTCTTTCTCCCTGACCACTTCCCTCTCTCCCACCTCTTCTCCTTGTCCAACGCTTCACCCTACCATAACTCTTTCCCTCCTAGCTCTTCTCCTTTTGCTCCTTGACCACTTCCCTGTCTCTCTCACCTCTGTTCTTTTGTTCCTTCCAGAAGGAGTAGGGAATATCTTGATGCTGTTGAAGGTTTTTGACCCAAGGAATAGGAGCTATTGCCCCCTTCTTTGGATGAAACCTGAGTACAGTGGACCCCCACTTAACGATCACCTCCTAATGTGACCAATTATGTAAGTGTATTTATATAAGTGCGTTTGTACGTGTATGTTTGGGGGTCTGAAATGGACTAATCTACCTCACAATATTCCTTATGGGAACAAATTCGGTCAGTACTGGCACCTGAACATACTTCTGGAATGAAAAAATATCGTTAATCGGGGGTCCACTGTATTTCCCATTCCCTTGGTGCTAAATAATTCCTATCTTTTAGCATTCCCCCTGATTAGCATTAAAACTAAAATTAGTAGTTTTAGGGTTCTGAAGAAGGGTGGCATCTGTTGTCATAAGTTGGAATTAGTTCTGATTTCTGATTTGCTGTGTAATAATTGTGTTGAGATGGTTATTTGATGTTCAGCCACACACACAGCCCATATGGATAGATCAAAGATTGTTATAGAGTTAGAGAAGAACTGAGAACATTGTGTCCACTGTTTTATACTTAGATGTGTGGTTGCTGTAGGTGATAAGCTTCAGCTTTTTATCTTATATATAAACCATACCCCCGGCCGGGATTGAACCCGCGGTCATAGAGTCTCAAAACTCCAGCCCGTCGCGCTAACCACTAGACCAGCTAGCCACAATAAGATTCATCTATGACCGCGGGTTCAATCCCGGCCGGGGGTATGGTTTATTTGCAATCGTGTCATTACGATTTCTTAAGTCTTATATATAGACTAAGGAATTTACCTTCTGATTTTTGTTTTTTCTTCTTAGGGCTATTTTGTTGGATCATTTAATTTAAATATAGAAATATGAAACTTCACACGTGTGTATTATCAGTGGATGATCTGTTTTGGAAAAGAAACAAAGCAGTATTAAAAATTATAAAAGTTAAAAATCACATAAAACTTTTTTCTGCTCTATAAATCTTAAATAGCTGAAGGTAGTAGGGCTTTCTTGTCGCAATCATCACATCATCAGGACTCTGCAATGTTGCAGAAATGAGTAGGAAGTTCAGGCAGATTAATTCAGGGGACCAGTGAAGCCAGGCAGTCCAGTTGCACTAGGTAGTCATATGAAATTATTTTTATATGACTGATAGGTAGACAAATGTTACAAACAAGTCCACAGTCATGTCTGAGCCATATGTTTAAATAACTGATAATACTTCCATAAAAGCTTCATCCATTAACTCATCATTCATGTAGTATTACACAGCATTAGAGAACATAGTTATATACATTTCTCAGAGGTGGAGTCTCACCTGGTAACTACACAACTTCCTGAACAACCACTAGACAATTCATCTCGTTGTAACCTACATAGTAATGGTAACCTTAACATTATTTTCATATTTTCAGTATGCTGACACTTAGTTAATAGTGTCCACTGCTAGGTGTCCTTCAGTATACTATACAATCATTCCTACAAATTCATGAGCTTCCTTATTTGCATTTTTACTGATATATGGCAAGCAAATACATTCAGTTTTCTGTTTTTCTAGCTTGAATGTTGTCTTCTGTCCAAATATTGTTATTTTGGCCATTATTTTTTATGAATATCAAATCACTGTCTTGCACTTAAATAAATGACAATTAATGTGTTCTCTTTTTTCCTTGGGTCACATACTTTGATGAGAGATGGCCAGCATGTTACAAAAATGATAACCATAAGAAATATTTATAAAGCATTGATAATGTTATAGTGATATACTGAAACAAAATGAATTCATATCTGAAATAATTTGTTATGCAAACTTAATTTAATATTACGGTATTGACTGTTTCTAGTTTCACGGGGCTTCTAAAAACATAATCCCCATTAATTTGAAGGCATAACTATGTGTGCGTTGATACATTTGCTATACCTTGTTTAGTGTAATGTGACTTAAATGCTAAGGAATTACTAATTAGGAAACATGGCAAAAATGTAATATACATGTACTTAAATTATTTAAAAGTGTATTATAAGCTTGTAATTATTCATTATCTTTGGTAGATTGGGATGCTGATGACCTCTTGCATTCTGATGAAATAAGACCTCGAGGACAGTTGGCTAAAAATCCAGACTTGTCAGGTGAGCCTGTCTTTATTATTTAATTTGATGTTACCAACTTTTGAACAAGAAGAGCTACAAAATGGCTGCCAGAGTTGAGCAATATGAACTGTGATGAAAGTTTGAAAACATTAAAGTTATCTGTGTTGACTGACAGAAGAAAGAGAGGAGACATGATAACCACATATAAGGTATTGAAAGGACTTGAAAAAGTAGTTAAAGAAGATTACTTAGTATTTGTAGCAGGGATAACAAGTGGCCACAGTTACAAATTGATTAAACAGTGGAGTGGAAAGGACAGTAGAAAATTTACCTTTCCAGATAGAGTGGTTGACCAGTGGAGTGCATTAAAGGAAAATTAGTAAGTTCTGTAACTCTTCGAAATTTTAAAAAATTGTATGGTGAACAAAGTATTGAAAAGAAGACACCATGAGTATAGCTCTGCTCTTGTAGCTACAAATACAGGTGGGCCCCACTTATACCACAGGTTAGGTTCCAGGTTACTGCTGTAAAGCAAAAATCACTGTAAAGTGAAACATATTTTTTTTCACTTTCAAATGCCTTTAAAAGCCTGATAACGTATTTACAGTATCATGTATTGAGTGAGCAATAGAGCTAGGCCTTAAAAATGCATATACAGTACACATATTACTTATTCTATCAACAAACTGCCCATATCCCACCAAGGCAAGGTGACCCAAAATGAAAACAAAAGTTCCTCCTTTTAAATTTAGTAATATATACAGGAGAAGAGGTTACTAGCCCCTTGCTCTGACATTTTAGTCACCTCCTACAACAACCCATGGCTTATGGAGGAAGAATTCAGTTCCACTTCCCCATGAAAATAAGCGGAAATAAACAAGAACAAGAACTAGTAAGAAGATAGAAGAAAACCCAGAGGGGGGTGTGTATGTATATTCTTGTACAGTGGAACTTCGGTTTTCGTTTGCCCTGGTTTTCGTCGAATTTGGTTTTTGACCACTTTTTTTCATCAAAATTTTCATTCATCACATCAGTTTTCATTGGTCTGCCATACCGAACATGTCCGTCTGCCTGTGCCCACACAAAGCATTCCACGAGTTTTGAGTCAGTCTAGCTTTTTTCTCGTCGAGTCAGCATTACCCTGTGTGTTCATCCGAAATATTTCATAATAATCCATTGTTTGTTGTGCTTGTTTATTGAGTGTGACTGCTAAATAAGCCACCATGGGGCCAAAGAAAGTTCCGAGTGCCAGCCCTTTTATAAAGAAGGTGAGAAACACGATAGAATTCAAGAAAGAACTCATAGCAAAGTATGAAAGTGGCGTATGTGTAGTCAATCTCACCAGGATGTACGGGAAGTGATTAAGGACATGTGTACGAAGTGGAGTAAGTTGCAAAGTTTTGTGGAGAAATGTCACCTTAATAAAGCTGTTGCAAGCTGTGTCTCCAACATGTTCAATGACAATGCCTTGTCCCATTTTAGGCAAAACTTAAAGAGATGCCAGAAACAGACCTCTCTGTACATATTTTTTGTGCAACAAGGGTCCAGGGCCAGTAAAAGACAAAGAAGTGAAGTAACCCTGGATAGGGACTTCATACCTGAAGTCCTTATGGAGGGGGATTCCCTTTCCAACCAATAACCTTTCTTCTTCCTCCCTCTCCCCTCCTCATGTCTTCCATATGCCAACAAGAGTCTTCAGTAAAGGTAAAAGTGATATTAAATGTTCATTTATCCATTTCATTAGTCCTTTATATTTATTTCTTATTGTTTTCTCTATGTAAAACGATAGTTGTTCTCTATAAAATGTGTCTGGAACGGATTAATTGGATTTACAGTATTTCTAATGGGAAATATTACAGTGGTCCCTCATTTATCGTCGTTAATCCATTCCTGGAAGTGTGACGATTATCGAAAAATACGATTTTCGAATCAATTTTCCCCATAAGAAATAATGTAAATACAATTAATCCAATCCTGACACCCAGAAGTATTATTGGCGATTCTTCTTAGTGTATGGAAGACTGTAGGAGGAGAGAGATTGGATTAGTTACTGTTTGGAAGGGGAATCCCCTTCCATCAACACCTCAGGTACCAAGTGCTTTTCTAGGGTTACTTTTCTTCTCTGTTTCTTAATGCCACTAGGACCAGCTTGAGAGTCACTGGAGTCCTGTCTCACAAAAAAAGTGTCCAGAGAGCTCTGTTTCTGGCATCTCTTTAAAACTTCCCTAAAATGGGCCAAGACTCTGTCACTGTACAAGTTGCCGATATGGCTTGCAATATCCTTCTCAGGGTGATGTTTCTCCATAAATCTTTCCATCCTACCCTACATTTCAAAAAGCTCCTTAATTTGTGAAAAAGGCACCTTCCATCTCTCTTCCTCCTCCTCTGCAGCAAGATTCTGAGCTGCGATTTGTTGCTGTTCCTGCTGAAGCTCTTGCAGCTCCTCAGTGGTTAGCTCTTCCTTGTGGTCCTCCATTAACACTTCCACATCCTCCAAACTCATATCCAACCCCATGGAACTCCCCAATGCCACAGTAGAGTTCACAACTGACATAGGCTCATCAGGGTCAGCCACAAACCCTTCAAAATCCCTCTTGTGGACACAATCTGGCCACAATTTTCTCCATGCAGAGTTCAAAGTCCTGGTAGTCACTCCCTCCCAAGCCTTACCTATAAGGATACCTATAAGGATATGGAGGATACTGAAGTGTTCTTTCCAAAACTCTCTTGGGGTCAAGTGAGTGTCTGAGGTCACATTAAAGCACCTTTGAAACATTGCTTTTGTGTAGAGTTTTTTAAAGTTTGAAATGACCTGCTGGTCCATGGGTTGGAGTAGAGGAGTGGTATTTGGGGGCAAGAACTTTACTGTGATGAACCCAAACTCCTGCAGAAATGAGCAGGTGCATTGTCCATTACTAGGAGGCACTTGAGATCCAATTTCTTTTCCAGGAGGTAATTCTTCACACTAGGGCCAAACACTTCATGGAATCACTCGACGAAAATTTCAGTATATTTACCCCCTTTGCAGCAACAGCTTCCTTGATTTCCTTTTTCTTGGCCATGATGGAAGATATGGTTGTACGGGATTTGTTATACATCCTGGCCAGTTCGGCCACACGTACGCCACTTTCATATTGTTCAATGATGTTTTTCTTAAATTCAGTCGTATTTCTCATTCTTTACCAAAGGCTTGGCACTAGGAGCTTTCTTTGGAGCCATGGTAGCTGATTTAGCACTTGCAAGCACTAAAATGAATGGAATATTATGAAATATTTCGTACGAACAAGTGAGGGGACCGTCGCTCACTGGTAAACAATGATACACTGGCTGGGAAGGGAGGCTGAGGTGGCTCAGAGCGTGAGTACGGGTCCTGGACGAAGGACGATTAGCGAGTAAACCGACCATTTGGAAGCCAATGTTTGGACGAGAATAACGCGACGATTTCCGAAAAGGACGGCTATCGAGCCGGATGATTATTGAGGGACCACCGTACTTCAGTTTTCGTCGAATTTGGTTTTCGTCAGACTTTCTGGAGCGAATTAATGACGAAAAAAGGGGTTCCACTGTACATGCAAGTGTAGTGTGAACTAAGTGTAAGTAGAAGTAAAAAGACACACCTGAAATCTTGTATGTTTATGAGACAGAAAAAAAAGACACCAGCAATCCTACCATCATGTAAAACAATTACAAGCTTCTGTTTTACACTCAGCAGGATGGTAGTACCTCCCTGGCAGTTACTGTCTACCAACCTACTACAGTGGAACCTCGGTTTTCATCTTTAGCCCTTCGACTGTCGCAACCCCAAATCCTGAGGTGTCTCCTGATGTCGCAAAATATTTGAAAAAAAAAAAAAAAATTCTTATAAAATGATAGAGAATCGCTTTCCGATGGTAATGACACCAAAAGTAAGAAATTTGATGGAAAACTTATGGAATTATGCTCTTGTGAAGTTAGCGACCTCGGCGATATTTACGAATCGGCAATTTTGCCCACTTTGAACCCTATTTTCAGCTAATTCCATTGTTCTAGTCGACCAAAGTCATAGCTATTTCTTTAGAACTCCATTTGTTCTATCGATAGAGTACAAGAAACTGCCCATTTACCGATTTCAACTACCCAATAAAGTGGTCAGAAATTGGCAATTTGGCCAATTTCACACAGATTAAAAAATATGCTAATTTCAAAATAGGATCCAGAGTGAACAACACAGACATTCCTGGCTCTAAAATAACATTTTCTTTGTTCATCAGTCATGTCTCCAGGCCCCTCTGATATTACTCTTGCTTTCTGTTTTGAATTTTTATTCAAACAAAATATAGAAGATTTATTGTTATGCAGACTACTGCAATATTGTAATAATTGTATAAATAATGTCAACCCATTCATGACTGCATATTAGAATGGCTACTTGGACATTTGTTGGAAAATGACATCATTTGTTTACTCTTGAACATCAGCAAAAATCAAACATTTCCCCTACTTTGAGCTCCATTTCAAGGTCCTTTTCATAGTAAAACCAATCAAAATCACCTCCATTTCTATAATATGTTTTCCATTCTATCAAATGTGAATATGAAAACTAGAATATAACCGTAAAAACTATACGAAAATACACCTCAAAATTGGCATTTTAATCCAAAAACACGGTCGGAGTTTTTTTTCTCATTATGCACTGCTTGCTGCAGGATTTTTTTTATACTGTGCACACTGACCACACAGACCCATTCTCTCACATTTATTTATTTATTTAGTAATTTGAGCATACATACAGAGGTACAAAAAAATACAGGTAAGAGCAGCATGCCAAAGCCACTTGTACGCATAGCATTACGGGCTGGCTTAAAATTAACTTAAGATTAACTAAGCAATGATGAAATCAGTGATAAAACATTATTGTAAACAGATAACTATAAAGCACAAATGAGTATTACAAAGACAGGTCATATGGTTGCATGCATTGCTGTACATTCAGTCGAATGGAGTATTCTGTTAGGTAGTGTATTTAAAAAATAATAAAGTTAGATTGGGTTTTAGGTTTA